TCTGCAGTGGGGGACTGGGGCGCCATGAGCACAGACTGTGTTCTCTCATTGATCTTATGAGGCGCAGAGACACGGGCCCCATGCTTATGTATCCAGCCATGAAACGTCCCAAACGCCGTGCATTTGCTTTTCCAAACTGCGAGGGAAACACAGAATTAAACAAATTCCTACAGAGTTAAATTCACACCTGCAGAGTTCTATTAGATACGGTTTACTCTGTGGGAGCTTGTTCGGCACTGTTGATTTTGCTTGGAATGTCATTTGCACAAAACTACCACAAAGAAAGCCCTAAAAACAGATACTGGAAGAATAAAGGTTATGTTAAAATGATAAGTCTGCACTACACGCTCGGAAAACTATGTATATGTGCACAGTAGAGACGGCATATTGGCACTGATGGGTATAAGAATTGGGCCAATATCAGCAGAAAATGCTTGAACAGATATCAGAGGGAAAAAGAGCCAATCTAATCCAGCCCTGTAACAAATCTATCCTGAAATGGTGATGTTTTCCTGGTTTTCTAAGTGAAAATAAGTTAGCACACCCTCTATCAGGAATAAACTAAAATATGTCATTTTTTTCTGGAAATTTTAGTGCACAATTTCTGTTTAATTGCTTGGGTTTAACATATTGGAAAAACGTAAACATAAAAAATGTGCCAAAACTTTGGTGAAGGCCAAAGTTTTAAAAATACGCCGCTTACTGCATGCTTAAGTCATCTTGCTTGACTTGCTTCAAACAGTGTCCAGTTGTTAAGTAATCTCATATAGAATTGTTTACATGGTTTCTGGTAGAGATCGGCACGGGACTGTTTTTTCAGTTTTGTAGTCCTGCTCCTGCCCGGTCCTGCAGAAAATTGTAATCATTCGTCCCGCTCCCGCCCGCGACCGAAACGTTTTGCTCCGCTCCCACCTGCACAGTACTGTCACCAAACGCCATTTCTTCATAACTTCTTAACGCCATTTATTCCCAGTAAAAGCAGGAATTAAACCACAGAACGGTCTTTTGTGTGTGTATTTGTGTATATATATATATATATATATATACACTGCAGGGAGATTTACTCGAAAGAGGCCCTGAATATTCTATTGTAACTCCCGTTAGGATGAAGCAAATACCTTGACATATGTGTAATCGATTGCATTACATGCAATGCTGGAAGTGATTTCTGTTTTCTGCCAGACACATGAAGGGGTACGGGGGTATGCACCCGGGAGTTGCAAACGGAGGTTAAACGTCACGATGGCTGTCCGGCACCTACCTCATCGCTCCGACGCAGGGGCGTCCCAGCTTGTTTGAAGCTCCATATACTAAGGAGCACATTGCACGTTGTTTCGCTCAGATATGATTTAGTGGTTGTTTTACTTTATTTAAGTTATTCATTAATTTGTGGGATTTCTCTTCATGCGTGCTTCGGCCTGTTCCCATCTGCAGTGGGCTGGTTTCCCACCCGCTCCTGTGCACAACACTGAAAATTAGTGCTGTGCTGCAAGTTATTGTGGCGGGGCCCGCGTGAATCCACGGGAGTGCAGACCTCTAGTTTCTGGCACTGTATGGTATATTGTTATCAACAAAAAATGAATAAAAGTACATACAAAATTCAGGCTTCAATAAGCATGCTACTACTGTTTTACTACTGTGTTGAAATACTACTTGAGGTACTTATATCCATGTTTATAGATAATTGTTTGTCATGCAGCATCTACATAGTGTATTTGCGGCAACTTGACATGATCTGAAGGAAGCATGTGATGACTTAGCTGCGCAGTTTGGAAGATGCTTATTGCTGGTCTTATTAGAAACTTCCATTACTTGTTAGCTGCATTAGCCTTATTGCTCCAGTGCAAAACTACAGAGGCAAATTCAAACCCATTTAAAATGCTGACTAAAGGTAAGAATGTAAGTATAACAGGTGTAGAATGAGGTGTTGCAGTGAAACCTCTTACAATGTCTTCTTGCTCCTCTTTAAAAAGTGCAACCTTAGCCACATAGCTACAGCTATTACCGCACTCACATTAAATCAGAATTAACTCTGCCACTTTCTCTTTTTGAGTATAAATCATTCATGGATCTCTCTTATGAACCGCTGCAACTCTCAGGTGTAATTATGGGCCCCTAATCCCCATAGAGACAAAACTTCAAGCCTTTAATATTTCAGTGGTCATCATTTATATTTCATGATATCAGCTGTTCCCTCCATTGTCAGAGAGGTTTCAGAACTGCCCAGGAGTGAGTTTAAGTTAGAATTACAGCAGCAGTGACAATGATCAAAGCCGCTGCCTGGGGTTAGCTTTCTCTGGAGCCTGTCTGTTAGCCTAGTGTTGCTCCTCCCTCCTCCTTCACTACTCACACTCTCATCTGAAAGGTTCATGGTCCACTGAGGATAAAGGGCTGTGAGGAAGCCCCCAGTGCAAGTGAATATCTGCTGTGCGTTCAACAGTTCACTACAGTGCCTGACTCACAGCAGGACCTGCTCTTAATGCTGACAGGCCTCGCTGTCATTGTAATGAAACCTGTTCTGTGTTCTGTTAAAAATGTACCCACTGTATTCTGTATTGAACAAAGTGTATTATGTCTGTATACAGTCCGCGTGGTGCAGATGGCTGTTTTATAGGCTATAAAGCATATAAAGGAGGAGAACCACTGCAATAAGAAGTCGTCTGTGCTCCATGCTTCCTTTACAAAATATGAAAAAATGCCATTCATCCTAGTCCTAAACTCTGTGGCTGGCTGACCTGCGACACTGAGATAGGAAAAAGGTTTGTGATCAATGATGCGTCAATCTGAAGGTGACAATTCAACTGCATTGGTTTTGGATGCCAAACTGAAAATAATATTCCTTAAATATGCCCTTATTTATTATTCAAAATACTTTCAATCATAAAAATGTGCATTGTTTTGATTGTCTATATTCCACTACAGTGAAAATAATTCCTGTAGTTCCTTTTTGTGTACTTGCTGTATTTTTATGGTGTAATTTAATGATGCTTTAAATCACATCAGTAAACGTCAAGTATGGAGCTCATACTTGTAGGGATGCACTGATATGGGAATTGTGGCCAATGGCAATGCGCAATATTTTTATGTACATGTATGATGACACATTTATAAAACATAGAAAATAGGACTTGAGGTGTAGGAGCGAGATCCTAATGCATGGCCATGACTTAGTAAGGCGAGGAACGAGATAATTAAGACGCTAAGTAATTAAGTCGTGGTCACAAACTTAGTAAGGCATGGGTACAAGATAATTTGACATGGCCATGACTTAGTAAGGCGTGGAAATGAGATTAAGCCTTGACCACAGCCTAATAAGGCATGATCTTGTTCCCATGCCTTACTAAGTTGTGGCCACGACTTAATTATCTTGTTCCCACGCCTTACTAAGTCATGGCCATACATTAGGATCTCGTTCCCATGCCTTACTAAGTCAAGGTCACAACTTAATTATCTAGTTCCCTCACCTTACTAAGTCAAGGCCATGCATTAGGATCTCATTCCCATGTGTTAATATGATGTGGCCACGCATTATCTTTATTTATTTATCACCAGCAGGGCTTCGTAGGTTCCTGAGGGTTTTGTAATGTGTTGTGGCTTTTTTAATAGGTTGATATCACAATGAAAAGGAATGTAAAGGATTCTAAATGATTTAACAGGTGACCAATGGCTGATTCTAAATGCATGTAATGGTTTCCTAATGGGATCTACAGGTGTTCTACAGGAAACTAGTGGTCAATAATGGAAACCATTAAGCCAATTCCCATTAGAAGGCAACACAAACCATTTGGTTTTGATTCTAATAGCTTCTAATGGTCCTTCTCCAGCAGTACAGCTAACTGAGCTCTGGGGATTAAGAACTTATAGGCCAAGACCGACACTGTTCAACAAATACGTGACAACATCGCTGTTAAATGACAAAAAAAGTTATGTACTGTTTTCATGCAGAATTTGAATACTGGATGTGCTTCTAAAGTAAGATATGGTGCAAAATGACTTCCACAGAGCATCCATCCAGTTTCAGCTTCAATATATTCGTCTACTTGTATTTAAGCATTAAAACAGCTCAACAACATCTTGTCCTCTGGTTACTCAGACGGTTATGAATGACTATGTTAGCATATTTTAGCATGAAATCATTACTTGCCCATAGCTGCAGTTCAGTTACCTGTGTTCCTCCGCTGCAGGGAGAAGCGAAGGTGTGCAGAGACGCATCACTACCCACAACATTCAAACAAGTGTGGAGCGGTAAAATAGTCCCAGAGTTTTAAGACTACGAATCTCACAGAAAGCATGACTTACACCAAAACATCACCAGCATTGTTTAAAACAAAAAGGTCTGCTGAAAGTGAAAAAAGTGTTTGTGGGGAGAACAATGCTGGACTATTCATTTAAACGCTCGAGCGGACTGCTTGTGAGTTTACTAGCCGGTAGGCGGAGTTTGTCGGAAAACGGGTGGGAATAAAAGCTGTTTTGAGGTGCGCGCGGGGCGCTTTGCCTTCACTAGCCGGCAGAGTTGAGAACTTACGACACGATTCTCATGTCTCTTCTTCTTTATTTTGTACATGACATACGAAACGAGTTATTTATAGCTTTTAATGACTAAACGGGACATTCCTTTTCTCATTTGGACGGTTTTTAGAAATAGTATTTGAAAACTGAACTGAGCAGCACTCGCCCTCCTGTGGATGCATGCAGTATTACACAAACAGTGTTTACCTTGTTCTTTTGTACCTTGCATCCTTTTTAAGGCGATCTTATCGATTATTTCCATCGTAACAGACTCCGGTGTGTCGCTTTAATTCAGTTTTCCAGCCGGTGTGGTTTCACATCTGAACTCGGGCATAAAGAGCGAAGCTGTTATGAAGTTCAGCCGCTGACTGAGCGCGTCTGAACTTCAGTCTGAATCAGGCTGGAAAAGTGAGGAGCGTGCGTGGCTGCGTGCGCGCGTTTTTCTTGGCTGCGCGCGCTTGGCGCCGCGCAAACGAACACCGAACCGGCGAGAGAAGCACCGCGCGCCCAGCTGCAATGGCTCCACGTGAGACGCGCCGGGGAAACGAGAGCGGGAGCGTGAAGGTGTCTTCCGTGGTTTTCTGAAGCGGAGTGAGATGGCGTGCACCAGGAGAGTCAAAACTTTGGTGTCGACGTGCGTGATCCTAAGCGGCATGACCAACATCGCGTGCCTGCTGTACGCCGGGTGGATCACGCGCTTCGTCTCCAACGGGAGCGCCAAAGTCCCGGAGAGAAAGTTGGAGGACGACCCCGGAGAGACGCTGCGGATCCTGGAAAGGCTGGACAGGCTGGAGAACGTGGTCAAGCAGCATATCCAAGGTACGGACACACGCGCGCGGACACGGGGGAAGCTGTGTGGGGGGTGGAGGGGGGGGTCATTCTCGGGCCTGTAGTTTCACTGTAGTTCAGTTTGAACTTTTTACCGCTCAGCCAATGAGGTGCATTCATTTCAGCGGCTCTTTTGGAAAACAGTAACAATGCAATACGATATAACACGAAGTCAACAAAGAAATAAGGAGCGGCACAGTGTAGTGGACTTCAGATGCACGAGCAGCACAAAGCTGCAAAGAGCTCCAAAAAGTTTTGACGCACGAGGAGCTAGTCAGAGCCTTGAACTTTTTTGTGCATGCTGTTAGAGTGGATCTCTCTCTGCTGGGGCTGAACGATTAATCATTTTATATCGAAATCGCAATTTAAAAGGCTGCAATTTTCAAACTGCAAGGGTTCTTTAGTAAAGAGACTGGTTCTGTAAAGAACCATATGCATGCTTAAAGGCTTCTTTGCATGTTGAAGTTGTCCCTCAGATTGATGGAGAATGTGTTGTATGTGGTTCTGTGTAGAAGTTTTTTGAAAACGGTTCTATGTAGCACCAAAAAGGTTCTTTTATCGTTACATGTTTGACCTCATAACAATACAAGAACCTTTTTTGGTATATATAGAACCGTTGTCTTTACTAAAGAGCTCTTGAAGAACCGTCTTTTTAAAGAGTGTACTTTATCAAAGAGCTTTAAGTGGGAAAATTCAACCTAAAAACACAGAGCTTGTGTACTGCTTGTAGAGGAGTTAGATCCGGGGTGCACAACGCCGGTCCTAGAAGGCCAGTGTCCAGCACAGTTTTGTGGTTCCACTACTCAAACACATCCCCTAAACCTGACATCCAGCAACCAAACACCTGTGAGCTGTGACATCACAACCACAAACACCCAGAAACAGTGCGAATGTTGGTCTTCTTCGTTAAAAAAGGGCCTCAATTTATAGAAAACAGTGCCTGTACAGTGGTTTCTGCACTAACTTGCTGTAGACTGGGGTGCACAAATGTTTTGGCGGGCCGAAGTACAATGTTTTTGGTGGGCTGAGGCACAAAGAGGCATAAAAAAGGCAGTTAAACTTTTTCTATTTTTATTTTATAACATGATACTAAAATACAGTTTTGAAGGGCCTGCATCCTGCAATTTTCTTGTGTTTCTTGTGTTTCATCTTGTGGTCCACTTACATTGTTTATGTGGTTTTATGTACCAAAAGCAGTCATAATTCATTTTTACAGGACCATTTTCCACTCTCTCATTATCCCTTAGAATTAAACAGGCTGTTCCTGTTACTGAACCTTTTAGACGGTTTCTAAAAGTCCATGCTCTGCATATGTAATGCTTTCTACCAGGGTGTGCTAGATGATGGAAAGCGCAACATGTTGCATAGTGTAGGCTCTCCAGGACTGGAACCCCTGATATACAGAACGATGTTTTTCGGACAGTTACTCTGTTCTGAACTGTGTACCGATACTGCACAGTTACTTCCACATCTTTAGTCTCTTGCATTTCTGTGGTCCTGAGCTGGTGTGAGGGGAAAGCTCCGTGTGGGCTTTGGGGTGGGGGTGTGTGGTGTTGATCAGATTAAATTTAGCACTTGGCAGAGTCCTAGCACAAACATTAATCTCCGCAGCTGGTGTCGTGTTCCACTGATGGACACATAGGAACTCAGCTGGGCTCTAGTGTGACACTGTAGGCAGAGAGAATGAGAGCTAGCGGAGACTTTCTCCCTCTTTACCTTTCCTTATTAACCAGAGCACAGCTGTTACATTCAGAAGGTGCTAATAAGACTTAATGAGTTTTACTTGACATGAATTGCAGATAAGAGTCCTTTAAGTTTTTTATTCTTGACTTTGAGTAGTTTATATTGCTTACATTAAACTGCCAGATTGAGCTCAGCAGGTCATTGTCAAGTTCTTCTTGAAGTGTCTCAACCGTGTTCGAGGAGGAAAAGCTGCTGAAAGTCTCTGGTGCAGTGCAGGGTAAGTAAGTTTGACCGTGGTTGAGAACCGTTGCCTAAGGCTGTACTTTTTAAATCTTTTATAGCAAAAGTGTTGCACTTGGCTGTTTTGTACAGTGCTGGGGACAGTACCAGGCCTAGGGAGGAAAAGAAAACCTATGAAACTTAAGTGATCAGTGAGAAACAGGTTCACAAGCCAGACATCCTAATATCATCGTAGAATCTGGTGTGTTACGTCATTCAAAGTGGCCAAGAACTGCATACTTTAACCCCATAAAATCTCAGGCTTAATACATACTACAGCTTATTATGTAGTAACTACATGGACTACTATGCAAACTGGCTGAGTTATTTATTGTAGAAGTGTGTAGTAAAACTTTGGACCCACCGGTGGGTCCTGCCATTTAAGAGGTAACAAGAAAACATCATTTGACGTGAAAAATGACCAGTCACAAACTGTGAAGGTAATTGTCAAAACAGTGCTACAACAAAAACGCGCCCATGTTCGTCAGCAAACATGCAAAGATATTTTGTTTACTAGCTGCTGACTGTTACTAAGAAAACTTTTGAATAACTTCTAAAAATATGATGTTGTGAACACTGTCAGTCTAGCAACTAAGGCCCAATCCCATTTCTTATTTTTACCCCTACCCCTTGTTTTCGAGTGTCACCTGCCCCTCAGAACTGAGTCACAATGGGTAGTGTTTGAAATCTCCCCCTATGAAATGGGACCCTCAAATTAAAAAACATTACTTCATTAACAGGCTACTAGCAGTGCTCTGTAGGTGACCCTGTCAGTCTGCAGTGACAGCAGAGGAGGGTAAAGTTCTGCAACCTCACTGCTGGTCTTTAGTTAAATTTAGGGCGTCATATGCCTTCAAAGAGGGAGGATATGACTATTATTTATTATCGCCCAACCCTAATTCTTTGGTGATATAAAGCTGAAGTCTGGGGTTTTTTTACATTCTGGCACGTCAGGCATCAGAACTGCTGGACTATTTAAGGTGGAATGGGAAATTTAGCTAGCTAGCTACCAAGACATTAGCAAATGCTTACGATTTTTTATGCATGTTATGAAGAAAAGGACCATAATACTTTGAAATGACATTAAACTAAGATAAAACAATGATTATCATAGTTCGTTAATGGAGAAAATACTTACATGTGTGTGTTTCTTTGGTCGCTTGCACAGTCACCTTGCCTGTTTTTCTTTTTTTCCTCATAAAAAAGTGAAAAAACTCAGTTTGAAGGGCCACGCTACCCCTTCATCACAACAAAAATCGAGACACCCTACCCCTAGATGTGAAAGTGCAAAACGGAGGGCTAAGGGCTAAGTGGTAGGGGCAAGGGGTGGAATGGGTTTGGGCCTAAATCTTACTCTGAAAGGCTTATTGTTGTCATGGCACACAGAGCAGGAAACAGTTTGCAGAAGTTTGTTTACCATCAGACTGGTAGGAACTGCTCCTCAGAAGTGCGTACATGTGAAAGTGGACATTACCAATCAGAGTGCAGCTGACAAAATTCCAATAGCTGTGGCCATCTCAGACCTCTGAGGGCGAGACTAGGTTCACAATGACAACCACTTAAAGATGTAGTAGTGTCTTTGTGGGCCATTATGTATTTACAGCAGTGCCTCTGTGAATCTAGATAAGCTTGCTGTCTTTATGAAATTGGTGTATTGTAAAGAATGGCTTATCAACCTTAAAAATTAGTTCACGTTCAACTCAGGTAAATGCTTTATAGTCTCTCCAGCCTCCAGGCTCCACCCATTCATAGTAAAGTTATAAGGAGTGTTTCACCTCTGAGTGCTTTTCATAGGATATGGATATGGGCCCTTTAAATGAAACAGCTGAACTTGCAGTGTGTGCCACAGGGTGCAAATTAACCTCTTTTTTATTGTCATTTATATTAGCATTGGCTATCCTGAAACCATCTTCAACAGCCTATGCTTTGGTGCGGACATTTCTCCAGTGTCCTGACTGTAAATTATATCTGTGCACCTCACATGGAGCAGAAGTGAACTGGTTGGTCTCCTCTAGTTCAATAACGCATATATTCCTTCAGGAATTCCTGCAGTGCCATAATCACTCACACTGAAGTGCACAGCTCTCTGTTGCAAGTGTTTGAAACACTTGGCAGTGTTGTACAGATGGAAGGGATGAGCTGTAAGAAAATATCCTATCCTGATGCCAGTGAGCAGTGTCGTCATGGCTTAGTATCATCACAATATTGTTAAAATGTAAAAATCTCAAAAAATTATCTCACCCCTGGTATGTAACCCTAACCGTATTTTAAGTAAATTGCTACTGTTTGCTGTTCAGATTATAACTGTGTAAACATGGGTTGCCTTGCTGTGTACTTTGTAGGGAGGTTATTTACTTCCACCAGATGTAAAATCTGAAACTGTATGATCATCTTTGGGTTTAATACTACTGTATATCATTAATGCTGGTAAATGTCACATGCTTGGCAGCTGGTGCCTCGAAAAAATGCTTAAAAAGATTGGGCCATTTTGTTAGAGAGTTACTCTGGACTGGAAGTGACTGTTTAGGGTCAAAGGCTAAAATATATTTTAAAGGACAGAAGTAAGTGACTCCAACTGTCCATTGCATGATTTAGGTTAAGCGTCCTGACAACAAGCTTTGGCAACACATTGTGGTCACATGAAGCAGGTTAGAGCATGAGGTTGAACTTAGTAGCAGGTGACACTTTAAATAGTTGATAAAGAATATGTATCACGGTATCTCATTTTTCTGGAATGTGCGAAAGTTGGAGCAACTTGAAAAAAATTAATTCAGTGTTTGCAAAAATAACCTATTTTAGGAGATTCAGGCAATTAGTAACATAGATAAAAAAAAATGATATAATGTACTGACGTCCAGTCAGCACTTTGGTCTACATCTGTATTTTTTATAATGTATGCGGTTGTTCAGTATTCTAGAAGTTCTGATGATATACTCTGATGATATATTGTCATGCAATTTATTGTTAAACTTCTTTTCCTTTGCCGTGAATATCAACGTACCTTAAAAAATTCTAATTGTGTTTTTTCA